CCGAAAAACCCTGCGGGGCACGAGCTCACGCACATCCTGGGGAAGGAACCGAGAGTGCCCGGGCTTTGGTGCCAACAGCCAGCCACCTCACGGCAGTCAGGTGCCTGCCGTTGTCCTCTTGCCCGCAGCATTCGGGGCGTCCCCCAGCCTTGGCAGCAATTTGGGCTCATTTACTTCTTATTCTTAAGATTTAGGCTGTCTTGAACGTCGTGGGTTTGTAATAAAGAGCCGGGGACTCTCTTGGCCAGCAACCCCGACTATGGGTAAACTTTCCCTGGGCCAGCCCAAGAGATTGAGGAGTGGAAACCCCAATTGCAGAAGTGATTTGGCACCTCAGCTAGCTGTCCCTTGGGTGTGGGTGACCCCAGCCAGTGAAGCCAATGCTTTGATTATGATTATTTGATTATTTGATTATTTGACATGCCCCAGCATGATTACACAGCCAACATCCTCCAGGGCTTTCCAGCTCCGTGTCCCCCACCCCATCATACCCTAGACCAGGGCAGGGATCCCATGCCTCCTCCTCCCTCATTTTCTCTCTCATACACTTCTTTCTCTGTGCAAGCATCTATCACCCACGCTGGGGTGCAAGCCCTGGGTAAAGACACTGCTGCTGCCCGGGGACCCTGCAGGGACACCCCACCACCCCTCACCTGCCAGTTTTCACGCTGCCCAGGCTGTAGTGGATGCAGTTCAAGCACTGGTCGGCACTGGGGCCGTCGCAGCCCTGGTCACCGCACTCGGGGTGGCACGGACCTGGGAAGGGAGAGACCAGCTCAGTGGGGGGAGAGGCTGAGCATCCCCCAGACCCCACTGCCAGGATGCTCTGAGCACACCCTCCCTGGATGATGGATGTGGGGAAGGGGCTGGGGACCCTCTGCCTATCTTATCCTATATCTATTATCTTACAGATCTTATATATCTTATCCTATCTATCCTATGGAGCTGCATGGCTCCAGGTGCTCACCCCTCCTCCAGCTCATCCTCCCCGGCACAAATCCCACCTGGCCATCCTCTGGCTAAACACCCTGGTGCAGGAGCAGCTTTGAAAGAGGGGCCAGACCTGCTCCTTGGGGACCGGCAGGGATGCCTGCCCGTGCCCGCGCCGGAGGCGGGGGAAGGTGGGCAGAGGAGCTTTTTTTACTCCTCAGACGGCTGCACCAGCAATTTGTGGCGGGAGCGCTGGGACGGGGCATTTTGCTACCTTCTAATTTCGCCGTCCTGCTGCCCTGTGCCGGCCGCAGGCACCACTCCTCCCAGCCTACCTTGGCCCTGGGCAGGATCAGGCCTCGTGTCTCCTCCAGTTTATCCGGGTTTGCATTTTCCCGGGTACTTTGGGGGCGACAACGTGGCAACTTGGCCAGCACTTACCTGCGTACTCCTCCTCCTCCTCTGCCACCTCCACCTGGCTCTGCAGGAAGGCAGCTCTCGACGGCTCCGTCTCCGATGCCGGCACCTCCAGCATTCTCCCACGGGACTGGGGGCTGCCCAGTGCAGTGTAGGGGTGCTCAGCTGTCCCATAGAAGAGGAGGCTCCACTCCTTCAGCTTCCCTGTGGGACAGGCACAACGTCACCCATCCTGCTCCCCATCTCGCTCCCCATCCCGCTCCTCTCCAGGGGACCCAGCTTTGGGGGAAGCAGGAGGAGGATGGACTGGACCATCAGGGCTTCACCACTGGCACGGCAATGCAGAAGCAAACAATGAACACCCAGAAATGTTCATGAGCCCCTGAGCTCCCAGCCCACACGAATGCAGCCTTTTAAGGCACCTATAAGGGATTTTTTATTCTATAACTCGTCTGATGAACCGCAGCATCACCATAGCCTTCATGCCCAATGTGCAGAGAGAACCATTAACTTTAAAAGCTCCATAATGGAGGATTATTTCTGTCTGACAAAAGCCGCCTGGCACACGCCGGATTATTTCTTGCTGCTGTTGTTCCAGCCACCTGCCTATCCAACATGTCAGAGGTCTGAGCTCAGTGTCCCCCAAAAACACTGTGGGGGTCACTGGAACCTGTGCTGCACCCGGGGGCTGGGGACTCCCACGGCCTTACACCCACACTGGGGTCCTCCCCAACCCACACCACTTTGGGGAGGGGGTCCAAAAAATGCTGCTGCTTCCCTCCAGTGCTGTTTTTCTTTCAATTCCCCATCAACGCGAGTCACTTCACGCCTGCAGCATGCTCGGCTTTAACTACTAATCCCCGCGTTTCCAGGAAGGGCTTAAAATTTCCAACACCCAAATCCCTTGGCTCTCCAAAAGGGCTGAGAGGACCCACCTGCTGCAAGTGAATAGTGCCAGCATGGAGCCTGCGAAGGGGTGAGCTTGGGCGGCATCAGCCGGGGAAGAGCTCAGCCGCGCACCTCCACCAAAAGAATTAAATTTGCTTTAAATCTAAAATGTCCCACACAAGGAAAGCCCAGGCTGCATGGGGCTGATGCTGGGGATGCAGCAGTGCCAGCAACAGGACACCCATAGTATTTAATTGGTAATAAATTAACCAATTTAATTGGTTTAATTTAGTGGTCTTAAATTAACATTTAATACCCGTTTCTGCCGCGGGCTGGGAGCATTGTCCCTCTTTTTCCTCCCACTTTGCCATCTCTGCTTCAATGCCGGTGCAGACCCTTTGAGGGGGGTGACTTAATGCACTTGTTTTCATTTCGTTTTGCAAAGCTGGGTAAAGCCGAGCCCTGATGCCTGCAAGGGGCTCAGAAGCACCCACTGTAAACTGTAAATACAGGGAGAAAAGCAGCTCTGTGAGCGCTTCACTGCTGCTCTCCGAGTTCAAAAGATTTCGGGTGAAGACAGCAAACAGAAACACTTTCTGCACAATGAACCCCCACATGCACCTCCTGCCAAAAAGTTGTGTGGGAGAGGTTTTTAATATACTCCTGGCTTCCTATCAATGAGCGTGTGGATTTTAACACCCCCGCAACGCGCGCCAGCCCCAGGCAGGATGCTTCATGCCCCGCTGCCACCAGCCGGCGAGGCGGCTGCCCCTTCCCGGCGGGGCCGGATCCCGCCAGCCTGGCTCCTTTGCCAGGAAGGGGTCAGGGAGCAGGCGGCCAAGCTGGGGAGGGGGGGGACACGTCGGGGTTGGGGACACGCAGGGGGCCAGGCTGAGCCCAGCCACCCCCTGCCAGTGCAGTGGCAGCCCGGGGAGGATGTCCGTCCGTCCGCAGCCCGAGGGGCATCATCCCCTTGCGCCATTGCACAACCAGCCCACGAGCCAGATGTCCCAGCAGCGAAGCAAAACAAACAAACAACAATTACAGCTCCTGGGTTTCCTCATTTTGACTCATTACGGTTTAATTTTGGAAACCTGGCTCTCGGTTGCAGTGAGATTGCTGCTGGGAGAAAACACACTCCTGGCTCAGCCAGACAGGCAGCCTCCTGCGCTCAGGGCTGAAGTTTTATTCCCATTTTTGAAAAATTTGGGCAATACAGTTTTGCTGAAGACCATAAAACTCACAGCAAAAGTTACAGCCAAGCGAAGCAGCCTGCAAAGAGCTTTGGGGGCGAGGGGGACCAGCGGGCGCTGGGGGACATGGGTGCTGGGGGACCCTTACCTTGAACCGCGGGGTTGCGCACTTGGGATGGCATGTCGTGGATCTCCAGGGTCCACTCCCCCGCTGCCCGCTCCCCCCAGCAGTGGACGGTCATGAACTCCCAGCCCTTGAACCCCTCGTTGGAATGGTCGAACACCCTGCAACGGTAATGCCGTGCATCAAGAAGCGTGACTTTGAATGTCTTATTTAATCGGAAACGGTAGATAGGTAATTAAGGATTTTAGGGATCCTTGCATGCACCCACCCTTGCATGGAGCCCTCCTGCAGCCAAGACCCGAGCACGCCCCCCATCTTCCCAAAAAACCCGAGGAAAACTTGCAGCAACCCCCTAGACGAGGATGCTGCCCAGCCCAGACGTGTGCTCTGGCTGCTCTTACCTCCTGGCAAGGAGCTGCGACCTGGTCCCTGCTGGAGAGACGAGGCTGATCTGGAGGTCGCCCCGGCGCGGGTGCGAGATGCTGAGCCGCACCACGACGTGCTCCAGGTAGAGCACGTGCTGGTCGCGATGCTCGGCGCAGGCGCTGCTGAGGGTGCTGGCACGCAGCACGTGGTCCGCCCGGATGTACCTGCCGGGGACGGGCAGAGCATCGCGTCGGGGACGGCAGCGCTCCCCAGTTCCCAGCAGCCTGGACGCCCAGTTATATTTGAACCTGGTCTCCTACTGCTTCGCGGCAAAAATTATCTCATCCTCCATTGCAATACAGTGTCCTAGCACAGGAATTTGCTGAATTGCTCGATGGTAATGAGATGGGTTTGAACTGCCTCTAAGATCTATGCCTTATGGGCTGCGAGGGCGCTGCTTTATTATAATTATCAGTGCAGCGTTCCTCTTTGGGTTGTAATTAGTGTCTGTATCAGATAAATAGTTTCATGAACACACTTGGCTCCAAATTCATTCCTGCTTTGCATACGCAAGTCTTTCCGAAGGGACTGCTTTTCTGATGAACAACTCAACTTGCTCTACAGCCAGGCAGTGGTAAACCAGGAGCGTCCATTTGGTCATATCCCTGATCCCACCCTTTAACCTAGCAGGGACAGACCTACCAAGGATGAGATGTGAACCTAAGCTGGTTTGAACCTGAAGCCAAATTCAAAGAGACCCCAGGCACTGGAAATTTGGGAACCCTTGCAACAAAGCACTGTTTTTTGGTGCCTTCCATCAAGACGAGGTGTTTGGTGGAAGAGGGAGGAGAGCCCAACCCATCACCACTCGTGTAGGACCCAGCAGGCGAGTTGGTTTTGGTCTCCCTAAGCCGTTTCCATAATGGCAAACAGCACTGTCAGCCCTCAGAAAATCCCTGCTGATCACCCACCTGGGAAGCAAAAGCACAGAAAGGGCAAAAGTAAATCACCTGCCATCAAAGCTGGTCCCAGAGAGCCCCCGTGGGACCCACTCCTCACCGAGCCGTAGGCACAGACACTGGGTGGGAACTTCTGGATCAATAAACAGACCTTGGGGTGGACAGTGCGGGTCGCTCTGACCATAAAATCCACGAACATCACCTCACCTGCACACGGGCTTGTCCCGGCCACCCCGACTCCTAATTTCCCTTTCCAAATGCCGGGACAGCGGCTGAGCCTTTGCATCGCGAGGGCCAGCTCGACCAAAGCTCCTTCCAAGCAGCCATGTGCCCCAGGACAGCCCCCTCACCCCACGACACTCACTTGGGCACTCTGTCCAGGCTTCCCACGCAGACGTGCTGGGGAGGAACTGCCTTCCACTTCTTGGCTTCCACCACAATAGCGTCTGCATCCACCAGACCGAAGCCATATAGATGGCTAACTGGAAAGAGAGAAGACTCAGAAACCCGCTGCCTTCCAAGCAGGGACCAGTAGCTCCTCCTTGGTTCCTGGCGGAGCATCCTCCAACTGTCGGAGGTGTGGAGTTGACCCCATTGGGGTACAAGGCACTCCAACATGCGGAGGTCATCACCCTGCCCGAGTTACACCCCAAATCCATGTTGGCACCATACAAAACCCATTGCTGGGAGCAGCCCACCGAAAGGAGCAGCCAATGCTGCAGCTCAGGACAGCCTCCACCAAGCAAGGCTTCCAAGCATCTTGCCCCATGAATTACTGCCCTCTCCTCCCTCCGCTCAACAGCCTGATGGTAGGAGCCACCGAGCCAGCTGAGAGCGGCCATCCAGGGCGAACGCTCCTACGAGCGAAGCTCTGGGGACCTTTATTTTCCTTTTCATGGCCATTTTTGCCATGCCGCGTCCGCCCCCGCAGCCCCTCACCTTTATGCCCTGCGCCATTGGTCTTCCAGTCGGCCGCTCGCAGGTGCACCGGCCGTGAGGTTTTGACCAGCAGATGCTGGACATCCCTCCAGGTGAGCAGGGGGCTGCAACAACACTTGGCTCATGGGATGGCTCTGCTGCCTCCAGTCTTCCCAGCAGCAGCAGGGACCCCCACTGAGTTAAAAAAAAACCCCAAAACTCTTTCCTGCTCCAAAAGAACATGAATCGATGATTTAAATGCTAACACCCTGCCTGGAGGTTGGCCATCACTTGGGGTGCCCCAGCAGAGGGGGTTGCCGCAGGGAGGGATGCCATGCGCCCATGGGCATTGCAGGATTTATTCCTGGCCCAAGGGTATTTGGCTCTCACGCTCTGGGGTATAACTGGAGGAAATCAGGAAGGTTTTCCCTATTTTCTTGCAGGAGACTGGGAACAAAGAACATCCTGAGGCAGGGTACCGGGCTCGGCAGCTCACCGATACACACTGCTGAGCAAACCTTCCCTTTATAGGAATAACGGCAAAAATTGCTGGAAAAAACCCTGGCCTGCTCATTTAACAGAAAAATGAAACCCAAAGTGTTTCCAACCCCCTCCCCAGGCAGGGTTTGCATGACGTTTGTGTGTTCAGGGCACTGGACACTAAGCGCTGTGTGCTTTTGAGCCCCCCACAAGACCCCCAGCCTGGGATATTGCCGAAGAATTTTCCATGCTTTTCTTACGTTCAGTTCTTCAGCATCTTGCACTGGGATTTATATTGCTCTCGAGCAACATTTAAGAACAGAAATTCAATTTATTCCTTCTCACCATAATGGAGTGCCTGAGCACCAAACCCTGGTACTTAATGTTGCGTTTTATGCCTCAGCTAAACAATACAAAAATTACATCTAACGCTTTTAATATATTTGTAATGAAAACGGCATCTCCAGAAACGTGCTCACCCGACCTGGGTGCTGGGATTAAACTGGACGAGAGGGACTGCAGCCAACAGGCTGTGACTGCTGTCCCTGGACGCAAGCACAACGCTGCCCTGCGGCTTATTCGCAGACTTAATTTATTTCCACTCCATAAAAATAATAATAATAGTGAGAAGCTCGTGAGAAGCTCATGAGAAGACGCTCCATGGAGCAACACGGGGATGCCCAATGGGTGAGCCTGGTCCCCTGTGGGGCTGCTCCTGGGCTGGGGGACCATGATGGGACCAGGATGGGACCAGGATGGGACTGGGATGGGGACAAGAGGCAAAGAGCAGCTCTTTTGAACCGGGGAGCGTGTCACTGCTGGTCACACCACATGGGTTTTTGACATTATGCAAAAGTAGTCCTTTTCCCCCAGAAATGAAACACTAGCTGAAAACCATCACTTCTACAGACATTTTCCATTTTCCATTATGTTTTCTGACTTTTTTTTTCCAGGAAGTATTTATAAAACTCCTGTTGGAGCCGGCTGTCAGCGGTTTCAATGCACCAAATGAAAAGCCTGACTTATCTCACCAACCCCAACTTTTCAACAGATGGCAACAAGTGAAGAATTAGCTCAATAAAACACCTGCAGGAACATTAGATGCAAAACAACAACGCTGTATCAAACCTTGCCAAAAAGGAGCAATTTAGAATAACTTTGCCCCATTTTGAGTTGCTCCAGAGCAACCTTTTCTCTTTTTGGTTTTGCTTGCCAGCTCCTAAATTTGGAAACATCCCCCTGCAAGCCTGTGGCGAGGTTACACTTACTTTGCCTCCAAAGCCAAGGCGATGATGCCCGCGACCATGGGGGCGGACACAGAGGTGCCCGTGTGGCCGTCCGTGCAGCGGTGCCGGAGGTCCGTGGTGACCTGTGGAGAGAGGAGCTGCAGCCCCGTGCTGCTGGAGATGCTCCCGGCGCAGGTGCTACCCCATCGAACACCCCAGGTTTGCTTGGGATGCTGCCAGCGGGGAGCTGAGCCTGCGGGTACCCAAACCTGCCGTGGCTACCATGCCACCAGGGTGCTCTGAGCCCCCAAAAATGGGCGGCGCATGGGAAAACACCCCTGCTTACATTTTTCTTTGCTCAAAGGTGCAAAAAATATTTGAAGGGGGGGAAAAAAAGGCAATTTTGCTGCGGGTCAGCTGGAGGAAAAGCCGTGGATGGAGTGGTGTGAGCAGGGTAGGGCTGGTGTGAGTACGCACCCATGGGTGCATGTTGAGCTATGCCATATTAAATGCTTTCCTTAAAAGCTCCAGTTCCTGGTGTCAGGCAAGAATTTCCATTTACATGGGGAAACAAGGAAAAAAAAGCCATTTCCAGCTTTTTCATTTCAGGGCAGAGCACGATGCTTGGGTACCAAAAGAGCGGAGAGAGGAGGTGGGCAAAGAGATGTTCTGTCAGTTACATTTTTAAAAGGCTCCTGGGTTTTGAGTTAATCTGGTAATTTTTGGAGGGGGGGGACACATGCCACCCAGTTTCTCCCCGAGGTGCCCCTGGAAGCTGCTTTTTTGCCCAGTGATGCTCCAGCAGCCCTGGGCTGGTGCTGGCCTCAGCCATGCAAATGCTCCTTAGTGCCATGAAAATGGCCCCAAGAAGGCACTTGGATTCTGGAAATTAATCTGTTAGGGGCCAAACAAGTCACTCTTGAATTAAAAAATAAAATAGACTTGTAAAAAACCCACATTTTTTGTCAAAAAACTAATTTGGGTGGAAAACTCCCTCCCACCTTGGGTAAGGCACTGTGCTGGTGGGGGATGTTTTACTGCCCGAGGTTTGGATGATGCACGGGGACATCGGTAACGAAAGCCTTGCTGTGACAAGACCACAGCAGCTGTTGGGACAGGGCAAATATAGCCTGGGTGGCAGGGAAAACCAGACTGATCCACACGTGCACAAGCTTTCACGCAATTCCTGGGCTCCAAAAAGTCTCTGCAACCCCAGTTGCCACATCTCTGCCAAACACCTGCATCCTCCCTCTTTTTTCTCTGTCTCAGGCTAAAAATCCTCAAAATTCCCTTTTTATAAGCACAGGACAGCGAGCAGGCACTTTGGGGGACAGGTAAATATTTGCATGGGTATTTTTGCAAACCTCCAGCCCTTTCACCCGTTTACCAGGGAAAACACCACATCCCTGAGCTCTTCCCAAGGACCAGAGCAATTCTGGCCCCACCATAAAAAAGCACGAGCAAAACCCACCGCCGGGCTAAGGGCAAAGCCCGGCTCTTACAACTGAGCCATCATCCAGCCCAGCCACGCAGAAAATATCCAGGGGATGCTGCCCCACTTGACATCGGGGTAAAACTTACTATTTTCCGTTCGTAAAAAGCCCCGCTGCTGTAGGTGGTGGCGAGGGTGGAGGCGCACTCCTCCAGGTACCAGGGCTTGTAGCCGTTCTCGGTGGTGCTGCTGATGGAGATGGTGTAGATGCTGTTGGTGTAGCCATCACAGGAGCAGTAATCGCCCTCTCTGCCGCCGTTCCCTGATGCCCAGACGAAAATGGACCCCAAGCCCCTGCGGCCCTGCAGGCAGAGAGGGGACAGGGGGTGAGAGGAGGCGTTTGATCGGGATGAGCGGCTGTCTTGGCGGAGGGAGGAGGGGGCAGCCCTCCCCCGGTGCTGGGATGCCATCGATAAGCCTGATTTTTGGGTCAGGAGGTAGGGTTTGGTTAGGGTGGAAGGATGGGTCCCATCCTGCCCAGCGCTCAGCCCCCTGGATCAGCCCCTGCAAACGTGCTTCTTGGCTCAGCCAGCCCCAGTTTTACAGGCAGCGACTCCCAGCGAGGATGGAAGAGCCTCCGGCGACGGGGATTTTGGCATCTTCCATGGGCTCTCATGGGGTAAAACATCCCGGGTGCTCAGAGCCCCTGGACCAGGCAGTAACACCAGTGCGGTGCTTCCTGGGGGTGCAGGGATGGCCTCACGGGAGAAACTGGCAGGAAACCCCCCAAACCCCACCACTCCCTCACCCCAAGCCCGCAAAGTCCCTTGCAAACCCACCCAAACCACCAGAAACCTTCCCCCTGCCTATCTTTTAGGTTTCTTTCATTTGTTTTTTATTTTTTAACTCCAGCCTGTTCTCCCCCCCACCCATCGCTTGGCAGGAACATCTGATGGAGCCGTCCCCACCGGGT